GTTGAAGAGCTTAAAACTTCTTTTTTGATTGTGAGTGGCTCTGAACAGTTTTTATGTGGACTTTTAGTCTTCTTCATCACTGATATGCTGTGATCATGTCAGCAGCATCGACAGCTTTGTTAGGGAGAAATTCAAGTAGCGAGAACTGATGCCTGCTTTGAAGTTGTGGTTGAGATGGTTGAGATCTATGAGGTAAGAGCGGACATGGTGAAGAATTCAGTAGAATGAGCAACCAATCCTGCTTCTACGATGGGCGTCTTTGAATTTACAGCGATTACAAGACGGTAGGCTAAAAGCAGCCTGCGCTTGCTAGAGTCTCCATTCGGTGGAGGACCGATGCGCAATAAGGCAGGGGCACTGAAGGGACTCTGAATTGCGGAAACACTGAATACGCATATAAGAATTTCATTATGGCACATGAAAAAGAGTGTACAGTGGCGGGAAGGATAGGTTGGGAAAATGGTGTTGGAGTCAGAACGATTTCTCAAGTAGTTTTACTTAATGGATTAGTCGTTAGAATGAATTAGTACTATATAAAAGTTTTTTTCGAAAGTTTTACTTGTTGTCCACATTCTTATGTCTTATATTCATAAGATGAATTTTTCCAGATACGCACTCGCTCATGTACGTTCCCGTTACAAACTTGGCAATGGACGCTGAAACTTGGAGGATCTTCTTACTCGAATGCGGTGGACGATGTGCTGAAAGCCTATCTCATTTCGGAAGACATAGATCAACCAAGGTGAGTTTTAAATAGTCTGTCTCCTCTCTAGTTTCCTTTCATGTACGGGAATTTTTTTTGCTTTTGAAGGTCTATTGAGTACATGCTGTCTATTGTGGATGAGAAGCGAGTGCTGAGGTCGTGGTCGAGTAAGAAGAACTTCACGAAGACGAGGTGAGAGTTTCAATATTTGTTTGGTTTGGAATGAGGGAAATTTGCGATGTTCAGGTATTCAAGCGAACTCGACATCGACCGAAAAGTAGAGATCAATGATTTACTAACGGAAGACTCCCCATTGCTTGTGAACGGTGAACTCCATCTACAGCTCACATTACGGCCGATAGACTAACTTATCCCGAAATGCTTTCATAGTTCGATTGTTGATCTACTCAAAGTGCACACCTCAACTCTCGTTAATTTAATTCGATTAAGTTTGTCATCGGTCATTCCAGAGTCATCCTATTGCATCCAATGTAGTTGTCAACGCCAAACTAGGTGCAGAAAAGTGTTCTTACCATAATATAAGCTAATTATGCAGGTCATAGTGTCGAGTGAAATATGTGCCCATCCCCCCGGTTAATGTATAGTTGCTTGTGCTCTTGGATGCTTAAACGTCAGAACATCAATTCTGAGTTTTCTTGTGACATGTGCTATGTACATGCCTATTAAATATTGCTTTTCTGATCTTTTTATTTGATAAGGCGCCTTTTCAAATAAGTATGCTGTTTATGCTTCTTCCAACTTTTTTTT